CACGCTTTTATCTAGTGTGGCGGGAGGCCTAATTTTTTGTTGTTTTTCCCTAAACGATGGAGATGCAGGGAGGCTGCTGAAATTTCGGGTAAATGCATGACTGCACTCGGACCTGTTTGAACTCAAAAAGGACTCGAACTCAAACTTGTGAACCTTTGAACTTGGACTTGAACACTCATAGGGGACTTGGACAAAGATAATTGAATTTAACTCGAGCACAATTCAAGACAAAATCAAGTTTAAAATCAAAACTTAATCAAGTGAACATTAAAGAAATGACAGTGAATTTGAACTTGCTACTTGAACTCAAGCAAGGACTTGATTTAGATAATAAGACTTGAACTCGAATGGAGTCTGAACTCAAGAAGACCACAAGGAATCCAAACACGAACTGGACTTGAATAAGAACTTGAACTCACACTTGAACTCATACTTTACAACATTAAGTGGGAGTTGTAGACTCAGTGAACTCGAGTCTAAATGAAACTGAATTTAGACTCAAACATATACAAAGAACAAAGCTTGAATCGTATACAAGGGAACTCAAACTACAAGAACATTTGCACGGTCAATAGTGACTCAAAGTACGATACAAGACCTCGATGCATATAAACAAAGAATGTAGTGGACTCTTACAACAGTCTCTACGAGATCAAGTGCATCGTACCTGCAAGAAGAACAAGTGGTTGCAGAATGCATATGCGTGTCTTGTATTCGCTATTGAAACCTCAGACATTAGCAAAATTGTTTGTTGGTTGAAGAAGGCGACACTTGAGATCAATAGCAGAGGACCTATCAAGTGACAAAGGTGGATATAATACAGATATAATAGACTCCTACGACAATCCCTACAAGAATGAAATGGCAATAATGTCAATTGATAGTAGAAGACCCGCCCTTGCAAACAAATACACAGACCACCTCAGATTTGTGAAAGGTGGATATGATGAAGGCGACAATGGCTCTCCTATGAACACTTCCAGAGGTCGTAGTGGATACAACGGATCCCTATAAATAAACACGAGCCGCTTGTGGATAACAACAGTGAGTACCTCGTAAGCACAACGAACCATTGTGCACACAAGTACAGATGTCACCTACGACAACGGCGATTAAGATCTACGAGTACGTCAGGTATAAGGGCGACTCGATGTACGGAGAAGGACACCCCCTGGTAGAATGGAAGAAATGTTCGAACAAATCAGAACTAAACTTCCTAGTGTTCCAAAATCTCTTCTTGGCCCTATCCTTAGGAAGAAAACAGTTATTATATCCACAAACAACGAAAATAACAAGTCTACTACACTGATGATCTTAAAAATTCCTTTTAAAGTAGAGAACATCAAAGTCCGGAAGAACCTACCCGGTGAATGAGAAAAGGGAAGTCAACATCAAGACGATGAGGTGCCTCGTGATATCAAGATATACTGCCACCGGATCCGCAACACTCGTATTAGCGGACAAAAGGCCTGTATAAGCTCTCAAATTAAATGTTATGTGTACTCAAATAGCAATTACCTGAACAACTACAATTATTTCAATGTACTCCTACACATGCATCATAATTTGTACACACATAGGTACACAAAAGGGATAAATACAATCATAACCCGCATGGGCCCCGGCGAGCGAGTTATGGGTACACACATGACGTTTAGGGATGTTGCGCGGGTCAATAAGTGAATTGAAGTTCGAACCCGATCCTTTTATGCAGATCAATAGGAGTCGATAGGGTTCGAACCTTCAAACAAATACACGGTTGTGGCGACCAGTGTATTTGTTTTAATATATTCATATTAGGCCTTCAAAGCCTATAATTAGGGGTGTCAATTCGGGTCGACGGGTCGGGTTCGAGTCGAACCTTAGTTGACCCGGATCTAAACAGGTCAACCCGAACCCGACCCGGTTTTGCAAACGGGTCAGACATTTCAACCAAGACCCGACCCGCGCGGGTTGCCGGGTTGACTAGACCCAACCCGCGCAGCAGAAGGCGGAGTCCCGAGCACGCCACAGCGCGATTGCGCGAGTGCGGACGAAGTCCGCAGACCGCACGACAACGCCAATGCGGACAGAGTCCATTCCTCCGCGGGACCGCGAGTACGGACGGAGTCCACGAGAGGCGGGATCAAGCAACTGAGCAACAATGCGAGTTCGGGGTGCAGGCTGACCGGCTAACAAGCTGAGTCGTGCGCACTGTGCGACAATGGGCGGACTGGCGGAGTTCGCACGCGAGTGCGGGATCGCGTCACCACGGAGCGAGTGCGGCCGGAAACCGGGTTGGAGTAGACTTTCGGGTCAGTGTCGGGTTGATTTCGGGTTCTCAAGTCAACCTGAACCCGACCCGTTTTTGAAACATGTCAAAAATTTGAACCCGAACCAAACCCGTTAGCTAAACGGGTCAACCCGACCCCAGATTTTTTCGGGTCGGGTCCGGGTCAGGTTTCGAGTCCGGTAAGAAATTGACACCCCTACCTATAATCAAGAGAATTCACTGATAAAGGCATAAAGCCTATGAAACCCGATCCTCCTAAGCAAGTAAATATGAGTAGACAGGGTTCGAACCATTGGATAAATATGCAGTCATAAAATAGACCGGAATATTTATTTAATACATTCATATTAGGCCTTTAAGATTTATAATTAAGAAAATCCATTCAATAAAGCCACAAAGCCTATGAGAAACCCGATCCTCGATCAACAGCTTGGTCGAGTTGACAGGGTTCAATCAACAAAAGAAAATAACCCCAAACACCCCTATGATAGCCTTGTTGAGTACAGATCTCAACCGGAGGGGTTAACTCCATTTCAAATGACGTCCAAATGCCCGAAATCCAAAAATCTCAAAAGTCCCAAAAATCTAGAATATTTAAAATTGAAATTTAATCATCAACACTCAAAACAAAATCTATCCACCCTGCGCAACAATTTGCCGGGAGGACAAATTAAAATTTACTTCAGCTCACAAACAGGTAATGCCTAGTCGAAATATCACTAGGATCCATTCTCAAACAATCTACTACCAGTAAGGACGTGTTACGTGTCCTCTAACCTGCGGTTTTGCCGCCAAATGGCACTGCAGGATAAACTGTTATGACCCAGGGCCCTCTGAACCCAGAGGTTTTGCCGCAAAATGGCACCACGAAATACCGATTATGACCAGAGCCAATGTGTTCTTAATGGCATTAAATCCTTGATATATGAATCAATATGATATAATTGATAGGGCACAAAGCCCTCTGTTAGCCAAGGTGGATTCAATTTTGTCCCCTTAAACAAACACCCACCCTAGGTCTACAAGGTACCATTGGACGAACCAACCCATGGCTGACGACAAGGATCCTTCTGTCATGTTGGGTCGACTACCTCCTCTTACTAAATAGACCAGGGACCACGATGGCCCGGGATGATAGAACCATGGGATCTTGATCAGGTCCAACATCCATTCCCCCACCATCCGCTTTAAGTGCAAGATAGTGCAATTTTAATTTTAAATATCAACTTCCCAAATATTTCAACCTCAAATCCTCAAATCTCCAAACTCTTCAAATATCTATATCTAGCTGCTACTCTATGCCAGATAACATGTATCTCTACGTATCTGATTGACGACTAGCCTTAATAAAAAGTTCTCTCTCGTGATCAGGAGGGGTAATTAACTATAGGGGCTTGCACCTATAGGAAACCAGAACTCAGATCATAAAGTCCTCGCAAAATGAGAGTGAAATCTCTGGGTAGTGTCTTATCTACAAACCCATCTGTCTTCCTAAAATTTACCCCGAAACTTAATCTGTTAAAACTCCCTCGCCAAAGAAAAAGCATACAGCAGCGGGCGGAGGCTGGGGCTGAATTTTTGAAGCCCACAAATTGAATTTAATTTAATTTAATCGAGGCTTGATTTGGGTCAACTTCGCTTCTATGACATTTGTTCGAATCGATCGAGTACGATCGAGCCAAGTCGGAGTCGTGTCGACACGACAATATTCGTCAACAACTCTAAGTTAAACCAAAGATGAAAAGGCCTAATTAAATCCAATTGCATAGATTATGAATAAAAAAGAAATTTAGACGCTCATTATAACATCATGCAAAAAGCACATTTACGTTAATGATAGTGCTTCTTTGCAAAGCCCTGCTTTATAGCAATATTATGGAGCAAAGGACCAAAATGATTCCTCAACTATTTGTGAAAGATCAAAACAATCCTCAATTCTTTTGAGAGATCAATTTGTTTCCTCAACTTTTTAAAATGGGACATTTTTTGTCTTAACATCCAATATTGAAGTTAATGTCGTTAAACGTAAGTGTATTTGGGTCATTTTTTAATTAAATATTTATTAAACACAATTTTCAAGTAATTATAAATTTTTTTATAAATTTATTAAATGTTTCTTTAATAAAAAAATAATAATAATTTTAGTTTTAATTTCAAAAATTTTAGTCATATTTTATAAAATATGATATTTATTAATTTAGAAAAATCAAATGCAAATAAATGTTATTGTCAATGTAGTCACATATTTATACAAATCATATTTATAAAATATGATCAAAATTTTAAAATTAAAAACTAAAATTATTATTAATTTTTAATAAAAGAAATGTTTAATAAAATATTTTAGAAAAATTATAATTACTTGAAAATTACATTTAATAAATGTTTAATTAAAATAATCAAAATGCCCTTACATTTAATATCATTAACTCCAACATTGAATGTTAAAATAAAAAGGTCCTATTTTAAAGAGTTGAGGGACCATTTTGATCCTGTTCTTCAATACTATGTGATGCATGGCTTTAAACGAACTCTGTAAATGCATTTAACAACATTGAATATACAATATTCAACCTTTCGCCTCCACAGATTTTACTACAGTGGCTGGCTATTAACAAAACAAGTTGAAGATGTATGACATTTGGAATGCTTTTGAAAGAACATTGGTTTGCCCCAATTATAATCCAAATTCCGAATGAATTATGTTAACATTAATGATGAAACATACCTCACTTGAAACATAATGGGCTGTTGATGCCACGGTAAAGTTAGCCACTAGGCCAGAATTAGCAAACATATCATCTTCAGGTATTGAAGTGGAAGTTGCATGCATCGAAGCTGATGAATCTGTATGATCAACAGCTGATAACCCAAAAATGTCCAACTCTAAACCACTTGATGGAACTGTGGGAGCAGCTGGCCAAGAAAGAAAATCTGCTGTTAAATGCTTGTTTGATGGACGACATATATCTTCAACAAATCAAGAGCTTTATTTTCAAATTGAAAGCAGTAGAAATATGAATCAGTCTTGACATGGAAGGTCCTCAAAAACAACATTCTAAAAGCATAGCATTTTTATCAACTTAAAGGATAAAATTTCCATGTTAGTCCGGAGGACAAAACCTGGAGAACCATCACCCTTTGGTTGAAACTACTAAACAGTATGAATAATTAAAGGAATTAGAATGAGATCTTCTAGCTGAAAATTTATTAGAACTGTAATATATCTGCAATGATCTCTACAAGGGTCAATACTGAAACACAAAATCCAAAATAGAACAAGAAAAACATGTTAGGCTAGATCAATAAGAAAACATGATTTAGAAAGAAAATTTAATGATTAGACAAATGTGTGATGTGGATGACATAATCTGACAACAAATGTAGGGCCAAAGGAGGAACGTTTAATACCTGATACAGGCCCTCTAGGATCAAACTCGTCAAAAAAAGCAATCGCCTTTTCATGAGTTTGTGCAGATTCACCAGCTACACTTGCAGGAGCTTGGTTTGTACCTCTAGAAGTTTCTTTGGGTCCTGAAGGTGAAGATGCTTTCTGCATTGATGCCGTCACAGTGCCTCTGGACCCATATTCATAATACATATATCAGAAAAATAAGCTACCACCCCCCCATCCCCCCCACAACCCAACAAAAAAAAAAAAAGTAGCTCATCATACTTGTCATTCTGAACATCAGAACAAGCATCATTGGTGGCTTCTTCATAACTTGGAGGTGCATCAATTCTGTGTACAAAATTTATGCTCAAATAATCAGCTTTATATGTTGCTCATTAGAACTCCTATTATATCAAAATTCAGTCACAAAACGAAATGATGGAGCTTCAATAACTTCAAAGCCAACCTTTCATCACGCAAACTATCATTGTCTCTGCCGCCATCACTCCTGCAACATCAAGAGGCATTAAATACAGGTTGTTACATTTAAACAAACATACTTAGAGAATATAAGCTACATGAGATACAGGAAAAATTGAAACCCTAGAGTATAATACTAATCTCATAGCCCCTAAATGATCATGGACATGATTTAGCCGGGTCTCTTTAGCTTGCCATGCTAGTATGGATCAAACTAGTGTTTCAACAAACTTTTTAAGTAATGAAAAAAACAAAGGCATGAGAGCATTCTATACTACGCAACCAAGATTTTTTTTTTAGTAACCCTTCTCTATGCAATGGATTTGTTCATTTTGAAGGAATTAATAAAAGGAAATTATATGAAAAATGGTAGAATCAATAGACTAAAAACTATATGTCATTTTAGAGATTATATGACAAATTTTTAACAAGATAAGTTACAAAGAGGTTTTATGCTTATATAATTAAAAAACTAGAGTTGCAAGTTAACAAGATACGCTACAATGGCTAGTTAAAAAACTGCAGGAGCAATAAAAAGCAGGAAACGATGAATTACAAAAAATGAACAACTGATTCTTGGACTATAGGAAAGCAAAATACTAAGTTGAATGGTGATCATACTCATCAAGAGAATTATTCGGATGTCCACCAACACTTTGGCTCCTTGGTCTGTACTGGTAATCACCATTAGGACGAACTCTGTAATTATCATCTCTGCTGTAAAACTCATCGTTATCCTTGGCATGCTGATCCTGACCCTGACTATATTTGTCTCCTCCACTGGGGTACCTATCCTTATCCATGAACACCAAGTCTCTTTCCCGCACAAGCCCATCCTCCCTATTTCCATCATCACCTTCAAAATGTCCATCATTGTAGCGGGCACTTGAAGACAAAGGTGGCCGAGATGCCCTACTGTTGGAAAAAATTGTGATTACTGGAAAGCATTTCACTGTATCAACATTGTAGAAAGTTTAATATCACATTTAGTGCACATATTGTGATGGACTTTAACTCACTTGTCCTTGTTAAAAAGAGCTTTATTTCGAACTTCCTGGAGCCTTTCCTTATTATTTACAAGTGCAACAAGACTCTGAGATTTCCTTCTAACATTGCTCCCTTGATCCCTCCCATTAGAATCAGTATACAGGAAGTCTGACAATGTCTGCCATTATAGCATATGTTCAGCAGGCTTCAAAATTTCTTGAAAGTGTGTAATTGTATTTTATTAGAAAATTACACGGAGAAAGTATTTAATGTCCATGTCTCACCGATATTTGGTACGCATGTTCCTTGATATCATCAATCACTCGTTCAGACCCATAAATGACCAAGTACTCGAGGACGCTCAGTGCCTAAGTAAAAACAAATTTATCAATTTGTTGGCATTTCCCATTAGGATAGAATCATTAGAGAATAGAATCTCCCAAGTACAGCATCAGGTTACATCCTACTAAACCTTACCATACTTAAGCCATTAAACATAAACAGAAGTAATATGGCGTTATAAATGCAAAGTAAAAGGTATGGAACAAAATATTCTGACAAGAACCCCTCAACGAAAAATAGTTAATATAGCACCTTGTAAACATGACGCCAATTTTTCCCAGTGTCTTGCATCCTCTTCCAGATCACTGCCATGATCAGTTGGTAGTAATTACTGCACCAGTTGCCCGATAAGTTAAATGCAGGTCGCAAATAAAGGTAATGAACAGACAGAAAAAGACATTTAAGCTTACTAGTTAAAGCTAGCCTGTGCAATTTCTGCAATGAGTGATCCACGAGGACCCCAGGTTTCATTGCTTGTAGCATCAAGGGTCTGAATTCCACAATCAATTTCATTAATATAAATTAGAAAAAGGACGTCATGTTGGTAAATTACTCCATTAGACCTGAGAAAAGCATAACTTTCTTTAACCATTACTTCACATTTTTCTTATTTCCAGTTTGGGGTAGAATGTGAACTACTTTCCTTTTTGCTAGTATCATGTTTCTATCCAAATTCATTTTCCATGAGTTCCTCTTTTTTTTCCTTTTTTTTTTTGAAGTGAAATAACAAATCCTTGTGATCTTCATTTTGTGTGATACATGCCTTCTTTATTTGAGACTCACGTCAACGTGATATATATTTGTAGAATTTATAAGTTTGTAATAGTCATACAAAACTGAAGACAGGTACTACAGGAGATTGATTAATGAAACACGGCATAATTGTGTTTCTTTGAACATAGGTTCAAAGAAGGGACAATGTTTAACATGAACTATATATGTATTATACAGCTTTCTTTATATTAATTGGGTCATGAAACTCGAATGCTCCTGTAAAGTATTACAACGACAACAAGATTTTATCCCATTACGTGAATCTTTTTTCTTCATTGTCTTATTAAAAGTAAAATTCTCATACTTTCTAACAAAGTCTTTTTAGAGGCCGGATCTAATACATCCACTCGCCTAGCAAGGTTATTGAAACGCCAGCATTTATATGACCAAAAAATCTAAGCCGACTTTCACTAATCTTATCCGCCACTGGAGTTACTCCAATCTTCTCATGTATATACTCATTTCGCATTCTATCTCTAAGTGTAAAATCACTCATCCACCTGAGCATCATCATCGGCAACACTTAACTTTATGCTTATTTTTGTATGGCTAACACTTTGTGCATGTGTGCCAAAAGCATTTTCGATCTCATTGCTATCTTATAAAATTTTCCCTTAAGTTTGAGAGGTACTTTTCTATCACATAGTAGGCTCAATGCCAACCATCCAACTTGAATTCTATTAATAATATCCCCATCTATTTCACCACTGAATTGAACAATAGACCTAAAATATCTAAAATGTGCACTCTTTTTAATGACTTGATCACCCAATGTCACAATCCGACCACTATATCTATTACTACTAAAATTACACTCCATATATTCACTTTTAGATCTACTCAAACAAAAACCTTTAGATTCTAATGTTGAAAATCTAATTAATAGATACAAAGCTTTTTGAACAAAGTAATAACATAAATAGAATTAGAAATTGAAATATTAATTCAGATAAACATTAGATGCTATTTTATCAATTTTAAAATCAGCCATCATTTCTTTGGAGACTAAATACTGAGGTAGGACAGCAAGTTAATTTTCATTGGTAGAAATGTTAGAGAAATAAATACATCTATGTTTTTTCTATCGCTAATATAAAAAAAGATATATTTTCTAAAAGTTAATATAAGTGTAAATTTCTTTGAAAATTCTGTAGACACACATTTCATATGATTATAGGAAAATTTACTAATTAAGAACATTATAAGTCTACTTTTCGGCTACATTTGGTTAGGAAAATAATAAAGAGACAAGTGACAAATGAAAATTATAACATCAGCTGTAAGGATAAAAGAAACCTTTCAATTTCTGTTTTCAATTACAAATGCTTTTCGGCAAAAAGAACCATGAATGAATTCGAGATGATATTTGCTTACCTTCTGCTCAATACTAGAAACTTTCAGAACCTTTTTGTTGACCTCCCTCTTGCTGCAAAATATAGAGAACGTTATAAGGATGGATTGACCACTATAAGGTTACTACATATTCTAAGCATCGAAAGATGACAAATCATGAATCATTTCATAAGGCTAGAGACTGCAAGCTTAAATCTGTGACTCTATAGCGTAGACAAGTGACAGCTCCACTTCTTGCAAGAGATGGAATAGAGCACGTGCATTAATGTGTTTGCATCCAAGTTTTTACACAAATAGCCACATAGCAGAGATAATCTTTAAATAAATTAGAAGATTATTCTAATCAGAAGATTGTTCTAATAACAGACCTAAAGAATTGCCATAATATTTTTGAAAGAATACAAATACAGGATTAAAAGAAAGAAGAAAATTTAGTAATTTGAGCAAGTCTCACATTGTGTGGGCGGCTTGGGTAAGCCAGCCACTAAGCAGTTGACTCGGGAAAGTCGCCCACACATCGGAAGACTTCCCCATGTTTCTTTTTTTTTCTTTGAATTTTATTTTGACAGAAAAATGTTGGAGATGGTAACTTTCACAAGGTTGCACGCCAATCACTTTGTTCAAGAAGCTGAACGTGTTGCATAATATCCATGTATGAAGTGTTATGGTTTAATTTTTTATGTAAAAATTTCAACTACAGGCAATGCGGTTTTCCCTAAATCATCTCAATGAGCTGGATGGATATGTTGGCGCAACCTATTTGTGATTATGATACATCATTAAAAGACAAAAATGATCCCTTGACTCTTTATGAATGATCAAAATAGTCTTCAACTATATTTAATGATCATTTTGACCCTTCAATTCTTTAAAGAGATTATTTTTAAAAATTTGAGTGACTAAAATAGTCCTTTAATATAGTTGAGATTTATTTTGGTCCTTCATAAAAAGTCAAGGGACAATTTTGATCATTTTCTCATCATTAAGAAAATAAAATAATTTTCATGCATGAAACGTTCTCATGTAATTTTTAATTAAGAATTTCAACTTTATTTTGCAGTCCTATCCATTTGAATTGTCTAGAAAGTACAAACAAATTCATGCAATTTGTTATTCATTATGATCTAAGGGCAAGTGGCATGGCATAAGCCTTCAACAAAATGTTGGTGAAGCTATTGAAGAAGATCCTCACCAAGAACAAAAGAGAGTGGCATACGAAGATGGAAGAAGCATTATGGGCATATCATACAACATACAAGACGCCAACTAAAGTCACTCCTTATTCATTGGTATTCGGTGTTGAAGCCGTATTACCACTAGAAGTTGAACTACCATCACTCTGGTTAGCAATCTAGAACGATCTCATTCAAGAACAAAATGCTTGCTTAAGGATGGAGGAGCTCGATGCACTCGATGAAGTTAGGTTACAAGCTCAACAAAACCTGAAAATCTACCAAGGAAGAATGACAAAATCCTTCGATAGCATAGTGCATCCTCGGGCACTTCAAGAAGGAGAATTGGTCCTGGTGCAGAGAAGACCAATCATCCCACACAGAAAAATCGGTGGCAAATTCGTATTCAATTGGGAAGGACCCTTCGTCATCGAGAAGGTGTACCAAGTAGGAGCTTATCAGTTGATCGATCTGAACGGACGTAGGCCTATGCCACCTATCAACGACCGACATTTAAAGAAGTATCATGCATGAAAATTTCATGTCTAATGTACTTTATAATGATCAAAGTGTTATATGTGTATTTATCAAAGCATGCTTATATTCATATTTTGAAATTCTCTTGTATAGCAAGAACGAATTTGAAAATCCCCCATCAGACTCGAGGCATTTTAATATTTATTCGGGTTGACATCGCGCTGCATGCCGAGATTCCCGAATAAATATTTAAAATCTCAAAGATAATAAACCTATCCAAAATGTCCCTGCAAGATGGGATATTTTAAATATTTATTTAGGTCAACATCGTGCTACACGTCGAGATCCCCAAATGAATATTTAAAATCTCAAAATTCTCAAATTTATTCTACTTTGAAATGTCCCTACGAGACAGGGGGCATTTTAAATATTTATTCGGGTTGACATCACGCTGCATGCCAAGATCCCCGAAGAAATATTTAAAATTATCAATTCAAATATGATATTGTGCTAAAGAATACAAAGACTTCTTTCCCAACTTTTAGAATAGAAGTTGTAATCTCATTCAGGGTTGAGTCCAATTTTTTCAATTTCTAAAATTGAGAGTGTAGGTTTATCTCGTCGGATCTTTCACATTTACTTGTGCGGGTTTATCCCCTATATGTAACTTATTTCACTTTCCCTATAATCATCTTTTTTAGCCCTAATGACATATGCTTTGATGACACAGTTGCGTTTTAGATGTCCTTTAGCTGCGCTTTAGCCGCCCTTTAGCTGCCCTCTAAATGCGCTTTAGCTGTCATTTTGTTGTCCTTTAGTTGCACTTTAGCTGTTATTTTGTTGCCCTTTTGTTGTTGTTTAGCTGCCCTTTTGCTGCCCTTTAGCTACCATTTAATTATTCTTTTACTACACTTTTGCTCATTCATTAGTTTATAAATAATTATCATTTTATGTTTACGAAATCTTTAAAATTAATAAAGATTACTCTCTACATAAACAATTTCATAAATAATTGTCAATGTTTATACAAAACAAACTAAAGTAAACTAAAAATAATGTGATCATAAACATAATAAAGATGAAGTGCAATAATATAATATTTATTAATTCTTATAGCATCGTTTGAGTATCTCACCTCATCTTCCAGCATAGTAGGGTAAATTGGTTCACCTAAAGTATTCTGATTATTTCTCCTTTTATACCAATTCAATTACGCTCCTATTCATTCAATCCAATCTCCTTCTTTTGCTTTCTCTTTGATACTTATGAGTGAGAGGAATGAAGGAAAACTGCACCATTCAACTGTTTTCAGTTATTACAGCAAACTACAGCTGTCTTATATCAATCACAACAATCATTCAACTATTTTCCTTCCATAGTCCCAAATTCAAGCAACACATTGTAGAATTTAGCTCCACCCAATAGTTCGCCTCCAACCCTCAGCTAATCCACGGCTTACACAGCAGCTGCTTCTCACATGTGAATGGGGAGGGGAGAAATGAACAAAAGGTCTGAGGTTTCATGCTTTAGGAATTTCCTTAATACAATATTATGCATTAAGGCTCCACTAGCAGCCCTCTATCACTTTCCCAGCCACATGATTTCCCACCTTCTTAATCAATCCAATGCATGCAAAGTTATACTTTGAAAGTCCAATACATGCAAAGTTAAGTCCTATGGGTACAATAAGAATAAAATAATAAAATAGAAATACAACAACAACAACAACAACAATATCAAGCCTTTATTCCACTACGTAGGTCGGCTACATGAATCCTTTTTCTCTATTGTGTACTATTAAAAATCAAATTCTCATTTAAATCTAATAAAGAAAGGTCATTCCTAATATTTTCTAATAATAAAGAAAGGTCAACAATAACAACAAAATAATAAAATAGAAATGCTGAACTAAAATTATAACATTTCTCTAAAATATGATTAACATGATTTCTTATTTATTTATTTTTTCAATTAACTATAACCGAGATAATAACCAGTTATTCATATAATAGATGAAATATCTAAAACTAAAAGTGTATGCTTACATTTATTTTGAGCATTTCGGGGATTACAGTTGCGCTACGGGTCGCTCTAACTTCTTGCAGATGAGCTATCGTGCACTGATGAACCTCTTGTAGTTTCTCGTAGATGCTTGTACTATGTCACAAATCGATCATCTTTGCTTGTAGGGAGCCACTGTGTTTGCCTTCCATTGAATGATTTTTTACTATAAGGGTGCCTTAGCAATCACTACTTGTTGCTTGTTATCACCCATAAACAGACTATCGTGTGTTCATCTCAAGTCTTACGTCCTCTGCTTGTGAGCAAGCTGCATTCACCATGAATTTGCTGCTTCACTTTGTAAGCAGGCTATTATGCATTCGGCGGGTCATCTATTGTTGCTTGCAAGTGTTGATACAGACCACTTGTCGCCCCATGTAAATAGGCTATTGTGTGCATCACAAGTCCCCAGTGTTGCTCATAGGCGGGACTACTATATGTATGATGAGCCTCTTACAGTGGCTTGTAGTAGCTTCCGTACATTGTAGGTTTCTTGATTTTCCTTGTAGTATGTTGTGTGCACTCCTATATTTATAGAAAAATCATCATATTTGCAATATATTTTCTATCATTGCTTGCAGGAAAATCTCTGTGTCCATTTCTAAGTTGATGTTGATTGTCGGTAAAGCTACACTCGTCTCTAAACTCTACATGCATGTTGGCTAGCAAGTTGTTATGTTCATTGCACAATAGTTTTCAATGTTTATAGGAGATTGATATATTTGTCTGCATGTTGACTAGTGTTGGCTATGGGAGGACCACACTTCATCTTGAACTTAATGTTTCTCTAAAAGATTACTTTATTCATTTAAAATTCCTCCTTTGTGGTGCCTACGAGCCATTTGATCCTACTTGCAGATTTGTTGGTTGAATGCTACAAGCCAATTTAATTTTCATTGTCCACCACTCGTGTGCACTGAGAATTTGATTGTCTTGTTTTATGCTTTGTTTGTTGATGTTTATTTGAGTGACCCAGACTGTCATCTGCATTTTAAGTGTGAACATGCCTTCGTCAACTTAAAGTCTAGTTCCTCATTCATTAATTTGAGTTTTCTTCAGTGCATTTTTGTTTGTCCTATACATTTTCATTTTGAATTTATATAACATGTCGGCGTCTCCTCCATTTAGAAGAAATTTGGGGAGTTTTAGCCTGCCCACCACGTCAAGAAAAACGTGCATGGTGGGTGTCGAGTTACACCATGGGCATGATCTTTAATCCCACACGACAAGAAAGGCATGCATGAGTCTTCAGAGGTATCTATTTGAAAAAACAGTTTTTCTCTGCAAACATAAAAGCTCATACACGGGTACTTAAGTCTTACCCTGCCATGCCGCAACTAGTTTACTCCCACCGCACTAAGAAAAGCGTGCATATGTAACACTGAAAATAGGATTTTGGAAGTTGTGTCTGAAAATTATTATACGTTCGTGATGAGGAACGACGGTGCTATCGGTGTCAAGGGCACGAGGATTGAAGCACGAAAACACAAAAACTTCTCTTTTTCTTTTTTTTCTTTTCTTTTCTTAATTTTTCTTTCTATTCTCTTTTTTTTTTCTGAAAATAGGATTTTGGAAGTTGTGTCTGAAAATTATTATACGTTCGTGATGAGGAACGACGGTGCTATCGGTGTCAAGGGCACGAGGATTGAAGCACGAAAACACAAAAACTTCTCTTTTTCTTTTTTTTCTTTTCTTTTCTTAATTTTTCTTTCTATTCTCTTTTTTTTTTATTTCTTCTTTTTTTCTCTTCTTTTCTTTTTTTGTCTTTTCCTCTTCTCTTTCTTCTGCTTCTTCTTTTTTATTCTTTCTTTTTTTTTGCTATAATATATATATATATATATATATATATATACACACACAGAGAGAGGTGAGAGAAGTGGTTTTGTTGGGAGCTGTGAGTGTGTTAGGAAAGTAGAGATGTTTAGTGGGCTGGTTATTAGGCTGTCATAGGAGGTGCTAGTGGGCTTTCAGATTGTAGTGGAGAAGAGGTGTTCACAAGCAATTGTAGATTTTGGCAGCTACAGAACGATCTTTGCAGGAAAAGAAGAAGGACAGCGTAAGTAGATTTTGGTCCAGTGAAGAGAGACAAGCAGAGGGTCGGCTAGAGTGTCTGAGATGTGCCTAGATCGGGTGGGATATTTGTTTGAATGGGGTGCTAGAGTCGGCAGGTTGGTCGGGTAGTAAAGGTAAGAGGTTGGGCTGGGTATGTGGTTGTGAAGGATCGAGATAGAGGAGAGCTAGGGATCATTTGAGCTTTGAAGATGGAACGAAGAAGGATGTGGCTGGGGTGGATCGTGTAATTCAAGACAACAGGTTGTGGCTGCTTGTTATGGAAAATCGGTCCAAAGCAGAGGTCGAGCATGGAGTCGATCGGTTGTGTGTGCTTGGGGTCGGAGCTGAGTCGTGGGTTGAAGAGGTTGGTCGTGGAATTGGAGGAGATTCGGTGGAAGCAAGCATATGGGGGATTGCGTGGGGAATGAGATGGAGCGGCTCTGCTTGGAGCTCGATCGGACCGTCTTCGTATGTGGATTGGACGTAGGAGGAGGCTATTCGTGTAAGGTAGGAGTGGACAGAGCTATGAGGGATTGAATGGCTGAGTGAGGAAGGTCAGTTGGGTTTCGTTCGGCTGAGGGAGGGAGGATTGTGTGCAGGAACCAGAAACGGAGAGCATTTGTCTTCATTTTATTAACGTGAACAGGAGCATGAAACGAAATTCAATTGCGCTCGCAGGGATGGGCAACTGTGGCCAGTTCAGAAACGGCGCCGAACTACAGGGTATGGAACAACTGTAGCAGACAGCGGGATACGATTTGAGCAGGATATGAGGAATATAAAAGAAAAGAAAAAAGAAAAGATCACTTCCTTGTTCCTCACATCTCTAAAATTCCATTTCCAAGGTCCTAGACTTTGCTTCCCTTTATTTCCCATATCAAAGTTGTGTAACTCATTGCAAGAAAATCTGAAATATCAAGGTAGTAAACATCTTGAACTTAAAGCGGATGGTGGGGGAATGGATGATAGACCCGATCAAGATCCCATGGTTCCGTCATCCCGGGCCATCGTGGTCCCTGATCTACTTAGTCAGAGGAGGTAGTCGACCCAACCTGACAGAAGGATCCTTGTCGGCAGCCATGGGTTGCTACGTCCAAGGGAACCTTGTAGACCGGGGTTGAATGTCTGTCTAAGGGGACAAATTTGAATCCACCTTAGCTAACAAAGGGCTTTGTGCCCTATCGATCATATCCTATTGATTCATATCTCAAGGATTTAACGCCATTAAGGAGCGTATTGGCTCTGGCCATAACCGCTATCTGTGGTGCCATTTGGCGGCAAAACCACTCGATTCAGAGGGCCCCGGGTCATAACCATTTACCTGCAGTGTCATTTGGTGGCGAAACTGTCAGTTAGAGGACACATATCACGTCCTTACTGGCAAGAGATTGTTTGAGAATGGATCCTAGTGATATTTTCGACTAGGCATTTGGCTTTTTGTGAGCTAGAATTTATTTAAATTTGTCCACCTCGATAAACTGTTGCGGAGGGTGGATGGATTTTGCTTTAAGTTTTTGATAGATTTATTTCATTTTTAAATATCTTGGAATTTGGGATTTTAGATGATCTTTGGTATTTTTGTGGAGCTTTTGGATTTTTTGGATTTTTATAGGTATTTTGGGTGGAGCTTTGGAATATGGATATTTGGGAGACAATTGAAAGTATTTGGGAACCCCTCCGGTTGAGATCTGCATTCAACACGGCCATCATCGGGGTGTTTGAGGAGCATTTTCATTTAAAGCTTGAACCTTGTCGACTCTGTCTGGCTGTCGACAGAGGATCGGGTTTCGTATGTTTTATGCCCCTTGATAGTGAATTCTTATTGTTATAGGCCTTGAAGGCCTAATATGAATGTATTAAGACAAATATAACGGTCGCCACAACCGTATATTTGTTTGTTGGTTCGAACCCTGTCGACTTCTATTGACCCGTATAGAAGGATCAGTTTCGAACCTGAATTTACTTGTCAACCCGCGCAGCATCCCTAGACATCACGTGTGTACCAATAGCACGCTCGCCGGGGCCCATGCGGGTTAAGATTGTATTTTTCCCCTTTTAGTGTACCTATGTGCATACAAGTTAATGTGAGGGGATATTCTTGGAATAGATGCCTTCTGTCTGCTTGTACGAATGTTGCAGATCCGGTGGCGTGGCGTAGCAGCTTCTGGATAGAACTGTTCGCTGCTTCGTACAGGTAGACTGTCGTGCACTATTTGTTGATTTTTGTAGGCGGGTCATAGTGCACTAACGAGTCTCCTGCTTTCGATCACAAAGGTTTGTATTTGTTGTGGTCTTAGTTATTACAACACATTGTTTCATGTATTTGAGAATCTTAACCTTATTTCACACCTACATATTGTAAGTAGGGTCCAACATTTCACAGTTTAGCTCACAGTTCTTGTTCCTTATCATTCATGTTCTAATTTCAAGCTTCTTATGCTTATTAACGTTCAATCAAATAATACAGAGCTTTAATCATCATCTACATTCCAATCAATGTAGCGGTCTATTGATATCTCACTTGTTGCATGTCTCTTTCAAACATGTCATTGCCTCCACCATAAGTTTCTTGCATATGTTTGTAGGATCTTGATTAGTGTTATTACAAGTCTTTGATCCTCAATTACAAGAAGAATGGTTGTGTTACAAGTTTCTTCACCATGCTCATAGCTTGATTGGTTGAAGATGACAATTTGCTTTAATCTCATGAATGGATGTTCATTTGAATGTTTTGGATCATTGATTGGCACCTTGACCATTCTTTAAATCAAAATTTGTTATCGTTATGCATGGCTTATAACATGTAGGATGATCCTCATAAGTTCTTCATTTGCTCATGGGCAAATTTTACTCATTTGAAATCTTGGCACAAGTCCTTTGTTGCCACATAAAAAAAAATGACTTGGATCATGCATGATGAGATTGCTCAAATAAGCTTTATACCAAAGCTTGTAGTGACTTTGTGTGTGAGCCTTTGCTTGAAAATAAGTTGAACCACAAGCTCATTTAACATTATTTGATTGTATTTTATTTGATTCTTGCTTGAACATTGACCAAGCTTGGATTCTCTCCTTCACAAGTCCCTTGTCATATGTTGAGATTTGTTCCAAAATTCTCCACAAATCCATTTGGCACTTGCTTACAAATTGAAATGATTCTTCTTAATCTTTTTCAAAAAACTTAGTGATATGATTTAAATTCAAGTCTCATCTCCACTTGTTGTATAAATCAAGTTCAAATTTAAGTTCAAGTGCATTAAGTTCATTTTGATTTGAGTTCTGAGCATAGTTCCAAGTCCTTCGTTCTTCTCATTTGACTTCCAAATCAAATGTAGGCTCAAATTTTGTATTTTCAAGCTTATTTGAGTTTGAGTTTATTTAAGTCAATTGAATCAAGTCCACAAGTCCGTTGTTTTCTCAAGTTCAAAGGTTCACAAATCTGAGTCCAAGTTCAATCATCCTTTGAGTTCAACCAAGTCCAAATGTAGCATTGCGTTCACCCGAAATTTCGGCAGCCTTCCGGCGTCTCCCCCGTTTAGGGGAAAACTACGAAAATCTGGGCCTTTCCCACCACGCTAAGAAAAGCGTGCATGGTAGATGCCCTTTTTCGAGGACACCGCGGCCGTGTAATTTTTCGATCCCCCACCACGCTAAGAAAAGCGTGCATGGGTATTTTTTTTGCAAAAAAGTATTTTTTTGTTTTGAAAATATTTTGTAAGCAAGGCAGTTGTTTCCCCGTAAGCGGGTACTTATGGGTATCCCAGCTTCGTCGTGCGCATCGCACCAGGATCCCTTCCCACCACGCTAAGAAAAGCGTGCATAGGCAGGGTTTCCAAGGCGATACGAACTTCGAAAAAGGAATTTAGGTGATTACCCGCTTCGTCGCAAGCGTCGAGACGCACTCCCTCCCACCACGCTAAGAAAAGCGTGTATATGTGATCGTTTTGTCTCGCCGCATGCATCGAAACGAGTTCTCGGAGTTTTAGGATTTAGGAGTTATACCTTGGCGGTGGTCGGCGCGGATCAAGAGAGCATTAGGAGAGAGAGGATCGGGAATGGGAGCTCGGGTTACAGGTCTACGGGAGGAGCTCGACTTGGTGGAGATCGGAGGAGTAGGGGTCGACTGGCTCACGGAAGGTGGACGTCGGGCCAGAGAGGGAGATCGGGATAGGGGGTGCGAAGTCAGGCTCGGGAGGAGGAGTTCGGTCGTGAAGTTTGAGTCGAGAGCAGGGAAGAGATCGGAGAGCTGCGTGAGGTTGGGATCAGAGCAGAGGTTGTCGGGTTCTGCTGGAGTGGAGTCGGTTGTGAGCGAGAGTCTTCGCGTGGATAGCGAATGGAAGGAAGCAGCAAGCGAAGAGAGGCTTCGTTTGGGTCGGTATTTAACGACGCACAATGTCGCTCGCTCAAGGCAAGCCACAGGAATCCCGCGAGGAGACGCGAACGGCGCCGACTGAACAGTATCTTCAACGGGATTTCGGCAGTGTTTTGAGGATCCGACGGTCTTGAGGTATGATTTATAGGATTTTCATCTTTGTTCTTTTGGGCTTTATACAAAGGTCAACATATATCAATTACAACATAATACAATATTAATTTTAAATATGTAAAAAAAATTCGAATTTAGAGAAAATGTACACTAATGCAAGGCAAATACTTTAATATAACGGTGAACTGAGAATTTTAGAAGACCTCACACCATCCTATGTTGATGGTAGTAACAAACTAATCCAAGAATATTTGAGTGCATCATTTTTGTAGGTTAACAACGAATTCAATGTACTTCAAATCTTTATAGCACCATATTTGATGTGAACCTTACAGGACGTTACCTAATTACTCATGATTTCATGGCTAGCCATAAAAATCCTGAGTACTTTACAACATGAAACCACTAGCTAGCTTGAACGCCCAATGGAAGTCAAAATTTTAAAAGGTATTGGGATCATTATATATATATATATATATAATTTTAAAGAAGGCGAAAAAATATATATATATATATAGATATATATATATATATATATAATTTTAACATTGATTATAAATACAAAACAATATTAACAATATTTATTAAATTCTTCTCTAATTCTCAGTTGCTCTGAGCTATGTGCCAAGAGAAAAAAAGCATCAATAAGATATAAGAAGTCCCATCGAGTGAGGCTAAGTTAGTTGGCCAAGCTACTTTCTAAATCTAGGTCGTTGACTTAAGCATTGGAGAATGTTCTCAAGGGGCTACATCATGGGTGAGGCAAGCACACTTACTTGATTGTGTGCACAGTACAACTGAGAGCTGCATGACATTAACGTCCTACTCTACTAACATGAGATAGCTGTTCTGAACCGGTATAATGCAATTACATGCAACTAGATAAAAAGAAGAAATTCAACTTATCCCACCCGTAGAAGAAGAAAGAGACCTATGATGAAATCAACAATTGTAGCAACATGCTCGGGTTTGCATAAACTAGTAACTTCTTCCATTTGTGGTTTCATCTTTTTGCTGTATGTCCCCTTCCTTCACCTATTACATGGTTTTGGGTTTCGTTTTACAACAATATCTAAACAGCTGTAGTCAACCCAAAATAACAGTAAAAGAAATATACTTTAAAAAAGCAGTCATACGGAAACCGCGTCTACATGACTAAAAAGAGGGGAGATATTGTTCTAGTAGCTGATATGGGTATAAAAGCATGACCATATTAGTTCGAAATGGACCAGAATCTCATGTAGTAACCATCACACGATGTTGGTTACCGGTAGCTAACACTAACACAACGATACTGTCATTTACAGAATGACAACGTTAGCATTTATTTCCATGTAAAGTTATGGTTGTAACTCTAGGTCATTTTGGAAAATTACTGTGCCATGCAAACAAACGAACTGCGACTAGTAACCTGTTAGCTATGTTAGATTACATGCCGAGTAATGCTCCAACTAAAGGAAGCTTAGCTTATAAAATCCACAGGTGTTAACCTTCAGTTGAACAGCTATTGTCATTTCTACCTTCTAACATGGATGGCAAAAATGTTATGATTTCGTAAAAAATGAATTTGATTTAGTTTCACTTTTTTATGGAAAACCTCACTAGTAAAGACGAATTACATAGCAATTACGAAATAGTGTGCAAGGTATGAAATGTTCTTACAGGTCTCTAACAGTTTGGTCCAAGGCTTTCTTCATCGTTCCTGTATCAATGTATTTCCCGCTAGGTTGCAAGGAGCTTTAATGCTGCTCAACCGACCAAGAGAATTCACTAGTCAAGGTTGCCATACACATTAAAATAAGGGTGGAAGACAGAAAAAAGTCAATACAGAACTTCTACGGCATTATTAAACAGAACAATTGTAAAACTAGTAAAAAAAAATTGACATGAAATTTTGACAACACCATAAAATCAGTTGAAGCAATTAAAGAAAAGATCCATTGGCAAATTTTTATGAAATGAGGCAATATAGAAGCAAATGAAAACTTTTTAAGGATATTTTGTGGAGTTGGACTTAGAAAAATAAATGAGATGGGAAACAGACTCTACAACTCATCACAGAAATACAGACTACTAGTATAGACCCACCTTCATCAGCACAAATATCAGCTTGATGTCATTTTTCATATAAAGCTGCGTTTTGATTATGAACATGAATTTCCATAAAACCACGAAAATATCAAACAGGCCAAAAATGGACCATTTTCAGAGGCATCAATCAAATAGTTGTAATAATTCAATCTAATCCTTTTTCCTATGTAAGTGCAGAAGCCAACCAGCCAGCTAACTCCATCAAATCCATACAGCCAAAAATCAACTAGTTGTTAAACATTACAAAACATCAAGATCAAGCTTTTATCCCACTATGTGGAGTCGGCTACATAAATTCTTTTTCTCCATTGTGTCCTATTAAGAGTTAAATTATCATTTAAATCTAATAAAAAAATTGTAATTTCTAATATTTTCTAGCCAAATCCTTTTAGATCTACCTCTACATTTCTTAGCATAGGCCAAATCTAATATATCTACTCTCCTAACCGGGTCATCAGAAGGCGATGTTTTATGCGACCAAATCATCTAAGGCGACTCTCTCTAATCTTATCTACCACTTGAGCTATTCAAATCTTTTCACTTATATACTCATTTTGTATTCTATCTATAAGTGTAAAACCACTCATGCACCTGAGCATCCTTAACTAGGGGTGTAAACGAGTCGAGTAATGACACTATCGAGCTCGGCTCGTCAGTCAGAATGCCAGCTCGAACTCGAGCCCATCATATTATAAATGAGCTCAAGTCAACTCGCGAGCCTCGGCATAGGTCCGCGCCGTATGCAAGTTCCGCATCGTTCTCCCGTTCTGCGACCGCGTCTTCTGCCCGACTGCCCATTCCTAAGCTCCGGTCTGCCGTCCGTTGTGGGCTCCGAAAATTCAGCCCCGGCCTCCCCGCCGCATGTGTTTCTTTTCATTCGGCGAGGGAGTTTTAACTGAGTAAAGTTCCGGGGTAAATTTTGGAAGGTAGATGGGTTTGTAGATAAGACACTACCCAGAGATTTCACCCTCATTTAGGGAGGACTTTATGATCTGAGTTCTGGTTTCCTATAGGCGCAAGCCCCTATAGTTAATTACCCCTCCCGATCACGAGAGAGAACTTTCAATTAAGGCTAGTCATCAATCAGATAAGTATAAAATACGTGTTATCTGGCATATAGTAGCAGCACTAGTTTAGGATTTGGAAATTGGAAAGTTTGAAAATTTAGAAAGATTTTGATATTCAAAATAGAAATTTCACCATCCTACACTTAAAGCGGATGGTGGGGGAATGGATGATAGACCCGATCAAGATCCCATTGTTCCGTCGTCCCGGGCCATCGTGGTCCCTGGTCTACTTAGTCAGAGGAGGTAGTCGACCCAACCTGATAGAATGATCCTTGTCGGCAGCCATGGGTTGCTTCGTTCAAGAGGACCTTCTAGACCGGGGTTGAATGTTTGTCTAAGGGGACAAATTTGAATCCACCTTGGCTAACAGAGGGCTTTGTGCCCTATCGATCATATCCTATTGATTTATATCTCAAGGATTTAACGCCATTAAGGAGCGTATTAGCTCTGGCCATAACCGCTATCTGTGGTGCCATTTGGCGGCAAAACAACTCGGTTCAGAGGGCCCGGAGTCATAACCGTTTACCTGCAGTGCCATTTGGCGGCGAAACTACCGGTTAGAGGACACGTACCACGTCCTTACTGGCAATAGATTGTTTGAGAATGGATCCTAGTGATATTTTCGACTAGGCATTTGGCTCTTTGTGAGCAAAAGTAAATTTTGATTTGTCCACCCCGACAAACTGTTGCGGAGGGTGGATGGATTTTGCTTTAAGTTGCGAAAACAATTCATAGTCATGTAACAAGTATTGAGCCTTGATTGTTTAATCTCATTTGTCCTTCATAAGTTATACAAAGTCTATCCCATATGTCCTTTCTGCTTTTGCAAGTGGAAACCCGTATGTAGTCTTCAGATTTTAAAGCACAAAAGAAACTATTTAAACATTTAGCATTTAATTGTGCTAAGTCACGTTCTTCTACAGTCTAATCTGTAAAAGGTATTTCTACCATTACTCCATCAACTAATCTAGTTAGTTTTGTATAGCCATCTTGGACTAGCATCCACATGCGATAATCAAGTGACTGTAAGAAAGTAGACATGCGTGTTTTTTAAAAATCAAAAGGAATATTGTCAAACAATGGAGGTCTAGTGATAGAGTAACCCTCAGGTTGTTTCGATTTCCGGAAAGTATCCTATCTACGTTAATCAAAAAGTAGTTCAAACTTATGATTTTGAAACGATGCTCTGATACACTTGTTGAGTCTAGTAATTAGGTTGTTAAGCCTAAGTGAATGTCCAAGGCTACCAAGAGGGGGGTGAATTGGTAGTTTAAAAAAAATTTAAGTCCCCTTTAGAAATTATTGAACCGAAATAAAATTACTTATAAATTTTGTAGAAAAATGTTTTTCAACCACAGAGTTTTTAAACTGAAATATAAAGTGAGGAAACGTAAAAACAGTAAAGTAAATGACATCAGATTTATAGTGGTTCGGTCTATAACCAGACCTACATCCACTCCCCAGAGGCACCCTCTGAGTATTGCACTAATACCAATAGTGACTCTCCTTTTTGCACCCACAGCAAGGCGGAGAGCCTTTACAACACACTCTTTTCACACTCCCCAGTGCGGCAGAGAACCGTCCGTCCTTTACACAATTCCCAGTGTTGGCAGAGAATCGTCCGTCCTTTCACACATATCCCCAGTGTTGCAGAAAACAATGTCCGTTTCCTTTCCACTCTCCTAGTGTGGGCAGAGAACCCTTCTATCCTTTTACACTCTCCTAGTGTGGGCAGAGAACCTTCGTCTATTCACACTCTCCAAGTGTCGGCAGAGAACCGGATCTCCTTGGACAGATCTTCTTCACAAGAATCTAGAAGGAAGAAGGAAAAGAGTGAAGTAATCCCAATTCACAAGTAGAGACTCTTACCTTTGAAATCCAAGTGAAGCCTTCTCGCTCCAGTGGTAGGATTCCCTTGAATGCTCTTTTCCACTCTCTCCTGGCTATTATCTCAAGAGCACGAAGATCAAATGACAAAAAGATTGGGTGCAGTCTAATTTTGGACTATAATACAAAAGACAAGAAAAACTGCCCAAAAACACTGCAAGTATTCAATTCTGTACGTAGTGGATCGTCCTGACGATCGTGAATCCTGGACGATTTTACTTAAAACGATCTGAAACGACACTATTTGAATATGTGTACGAAATGCTTCGTACAGATGATCGTCCTGTATGAACTAGGTTCGTCTAGTACGAACGGTTATTACAAGGTCGGTTCTAGAAACTGCTGAAAACTGTCCTAAGTCGGTTAATCGTTTGGACGAAAATTTATTTGTCTGAAAAATTTTTACAGAGGACCGGATCGTCCTGGACGATTCTTTACTTCGTCTGGACGAAAATTTTCCAGAGGACCAATCGCCACGGACGATAATTTAATTTCGTCTGGCGAAAATTTTCAAGAACCCCGATCGTCCTGGACAAATATTTCAAGAACAGTCGCCACGGACGATAATTTAATTTCATCTAGACT